CACGCCCACCTGCCTGCAGTTACCGTCCAGCCAGTCCATTCCAACCAGGATGGCCTGATTAGGTTCCAGCTCTCATAATCGGATCATTTCACCTCTGAATATTCCAGCATTACCACAGGAGCTTTTGAGGGACATCTCGTATCCACACCGTAACCAGGGGTTAATAATAAAATATGTAAGGACTTCAAACAAATCAGCAGCAATGAAACAAACAACCTTATTTAAACATGGGTAAAGGGCCTGGATAAACACTTCTCAAAAGAAGAAAAATGAATAGAGGAACAGAACCAAGGAATGGGAGGAGGGGAGGGAGGGAGGCAGCCCTGGGGGTGGGGGTGATACTGGCCAAATGACATTGTGACATTGTGAGCAGGTATGAATACGTAACAACGGATTTCACCATTGTATACAACCATGACGCACTGATTTTAAAAAGTGGGGGAAAGAAGGACACGCTCAACATCACTAATTATCAAGGAAATGCAAATCAAAATGAAAATGAGACCTCACCTCACACCTGTTAGAATGGCCATAATCAAAAGACAAAAGATAAGAGGATGTAAGAAAAAGGGAATCTTGGTGCATTTTCAGTGGAAATGTAAATTAGTACAACCAACCATTTTGGAAAACAGTGTGAGGTTTCCCCAAAAAATTAAAACGGGACTTCCCTAGGACCCAGCAGTCCCACTCCTGGGTTCATAGCCAAAGGACAGGAAAGCAGTATGCGGAAGAGAGGCCACACGGGGGCATCCAGCAGGCGCTGTCCACCACACTGTGATGCAGCCTGGCCTCTGTCGGCAGATGCCCAGGCAAAGGCGCTGCACCTGCACACATTGTTCAGCCTCAAGAAAAGCAAATCTCATCTTTCACAATGACAAGGGGAAGCCGGAAGGACGCTGCACTAAGTGAAATCAGACAGGCATAGAGATGTGAATACCACGCACCAGTGAGTAGATGGGCAGTGGCCGTGACTTGGGCTGGGAGGGATGGTGGCTGGTGATCAAAGCCTAAGAGCTCAGTGACGCAGGACGAGTAAGTCTGGAGATGTAACATGCAGCGCGGTGTTTAAACAGGGGTAAAGGGCCTGACAAACCCTTCTCAAAACACAGTGCTGTACACGTGGGATTTGTTCAGAGTAGGTCCAAAGTGTTCTCGGCCACAAAGAACAGTGGGGCCTGAGTGAAGTGACAGAGACACCAACAAACTTGCTACAATTTGGGGATACATGTGTATGTTAAAACATGGTGCTGGGCGCCTTACATGTAGTTTTATTTGTTAATTATACCTCAGTGAGGCTGGAGAGAAAGAAATAAACTCAAAATAAACAATAAAATAAAAATTTTTGCACCCATCTATGCAGCAGTGATGCAAATAATCTTCACAGGAAAGAGGAGAGCTTTAAAAGTGTTGTCAAGTTAAATCCACACCTACTCACGGAGCACCCACTGGGTGTCAAGGGAGGTGACAAAAATCAGAATCCACAGTCCTGACAGCAAGAGGTGAATCTGTCCACAGGACAATAATGAACGCTTGTGAGACGATTCAGAGAGTTCCCGGAAGCCAGCGACATCAGGTGGTGAGGGACGCAGCATCGGACCTGAGGAAACTTGGCCAATGCACGGAAGTGCTAGGAAGGCTTCCAGTGGAGAAGGAGGTTTGGTCAGGGTCCTGACGCATGCACAGACCTGCGCAGACAAAATGAAGGTGGGAGAACCCCCACCCACAGTTCCAGAGGCCTGAGTGAGCAGGGAGCATGACCCTCCGCAGGGAGAGGGAAGGGACGTGGTTGAGTGCGGGTTCCCAGACAGGGGTGCATGGAGGAAAGGAGAGGCTGGGTCAGCCAGCAGTGGGGGGGGCAGCAGGGGACCCCAGGAGGAGCACAGAGCACTGTGTGCCCTAGGAAACACTTCCTGAAGCCCTTGGCGAGTCCAGCTTTGGAAGGATAGTCCCCAGGAAGAAGGAAACACGGCCTGAAGCAAAGAGCCCACAGAAAGAACAGGCCTGAGCCTGTACATTTGCAGGGCAGGGGTGGCAGCAAGAAGGCGGGCGGGAGACAAGGAAGAACGTCTGCTGCTCTGCCCTCTGCCTGCCCATCAACCAGCCTCCCTCCACTTGGTCCAGGACTTCCTCCTGGCTAGCCCGAGGGGTCACTAAAAGGTGATGAACCATAACCCTGCATTTGGGAAACTTTCAGGAAAGAGAATGCTGAGTTTTCCTCTCTGCCTCCCTCCTTCTACCCGTGGGATGAGACAGAACTGGCTAGGACTGGCTCGGGGGAGGGTTATCTCTGTAGGAAGAATGGGCCTCGGAGCAGATGTGATGGATTGAAGCCTAAGAATTTGCAAATTACAATCTGTCAAGGCCTCTGGCTGTGCTTGTGGATCCCCTAGGACTCCCTTAAGTCCAGAAAAATACAAAAATGGGAATTACAAACGTAAAGTCATCTGGAAAATCTCCCCAAACCCTCACAAATCTTAAAATAATCAGCCTGTCCGGCAAACACCATGGCTTCCCTCAACTTGAAAGCCATTAGGCCTCCAAACCCTAGCCTGCTGCCCCAGGAAGCCAGGTACCAGGCAGCCTGTTCAAACCGCCCTGCTCTGGGTGACAGCCACAGCGCAGACCACCAAAGAGCTGAGGTCTGCAGAGGACTCAAGAGACTGAGCAGGCTCTTATCTCATCTCCCATACTGAACTCTTCATCAGTATCCAGAGGAGGGACAGCCTTCTTAAATCCCTTCCCGCTTCCCATGACCAGATGGAGCTCCACAATTTCAAAGCACACCGCACTCTCTAAGTTGCCGGTCAGCCATTCACTGAGAGCATACTTGTTGAATGCCTGCTATGAGCTTAGCTGGGTCCCAGGCAGAGGAATAAGAAATGAGTAAGGCTTGTCTTTGGGTTGAAGAAGCTCAGGGCCTCATTGTTGAGATGTGGCAGAGTTAAACAACAGCATAGGATGCTGTGAAACTGATTAGAAAATTTGGGAGGTCAGAAGAAGGAGGTCTGGTAGAAACTGAATTATTAGGAAAAATTAATTACCCTGCTCTGGCTCCTTCCTATACTGCAAGGACTTAGAAAGTTTAAAACTGCTCTTCAAAGACTGCTTTGCAGGTAGAGCTTGCAGGCAACTTGGGCAGACACCTGGGCTGGAGCAAAGGGAAGCAAAGGCTGAGTTTTCTTGCCCCTGAATGGGCAAGCACGGTTCACCAGCCAAGTTTACTCAGCGAGCATCACGGCCTACTTCCTGAGGTGGAGGCATCTGCAGTGACCCCAATAGTGCCCTGCCTGCTGGATGTGATTCCAGTGTGACCTCACCTGTCCTGTGGCAGGCCCCTGGTTTCTGTTCCTAGTGCCCTGCATCCTCTCCTACCCAGTGTTCTGCCATTGCCCTCCCCTCTCTGGCCTATGTTGTTGCAACCCCGTCCTGGCCAGCCTCCAAATCTGGTCTTGTCTGATCTCATCACTTCCATGTTCAGAATTTCCCAAAACCTAGAAAATGGTGTCCAAACCCTTGAGTGAGGTGCTGCGGTGTCTTCCACAACCTGTGACCCCCTCATCTTCTGCTATTCCTGTCCCCTGTAGTCCAGCAATCCCGGGCCAGCTGCAGGTCACTCACTGCAGGTCACATCCTCCTTGCTCGTTTGTATGTTGGCACACTTTTCTCTTTGCTTGCTGCACGCTCCTTGCCCCTTCTCTGGCTGGCAAAGATTTATCCTTCCCTTGACCCTCAGCCTCTTCTCACTTTCTCTTAAAGTCATTAGTTCTTATTCTTCTCCCAGGCAGATTTAGATGCTCCTTCCTGAGTACTGGGTGCACTGAACCCAGCTCGCTGTCACATGTCCCTTCTCTGTCTCTTGGAATGTTCCAGGTGGAAACTCCGTCTGCTGGCCCCTGAGCCCCTAAGACCCTGTTGAAATGCTTGACATGTGGTAGGCACTTGCCAAAGTAGAAGGAATGGCGGAAGGGAGGCAGGTGGGGAGGAAGATGAGGGGGGACGGCAGGGATGGAAAGGGGTGGCAGCCAGAGATGAGATTCAGTGGCTCTGCAATTCTGTCCTTTGCATCTCCAGTTTTGCAAACTCATCACCTACAAGGGTTAGCTCGGCTCCTCACATTCAGACCTTCCTATGTTTCCAGAAATCTGAGCCCCCGTTGGTGCAACAAAACTAGCCCAGGTGCATCGAGTCTGTTTATACATACTGTAGTTTCAAAGCAAAAATAAATAATAGCCATTGTTCCCTTAATCTCCTAGGGATTTACCTTACAGCTCCGGGGAGCACATTAGTCACTGTTTGGCCCTTTGGAACCAGGACAAGGGGCCTCGCTCAGCCCTCCCCCAGCCTTTTCTTCTTTGCTCCCCTCCCCTCCCCGTTCTCCTCTCATTCCTGCCGTGCTCAGTCCTTCTCCACCAGATCTCACCAGGACTCCACACCATGAAGAATACAAAGAAAGAGGAATTTTTACTTTAAGAGCAATAACTCCTCCCCTTTTCTCAGTTTTTCCATCAAAAGACATTGTTAAAAGCCATCCCTTCCATATCTAGACAACCGCTGGTCCTCCGGGAGGGAAGGAGGCTGATCAGGAGGTGAGGCCTCTTTCAGTCAGGCACTCATTGTGCGGGAGGGGATCTGACATAGAGGATTTTGTGCAGGTTCACACCTAGTTCTGACCCCTTCATTTGTTAGCTCTAAACCTTGAAGAAGTAATTTTGAATTCAAGGTATCAAAGCTTCCTTTGCAATTGAGAGCACAGGATTGGTGATCTTCCTGCGTAGCATTCACTGACGGCTATATTTTTGGCATACTGAATAATCAGGAGATGCCAAATTTCATATCTTATTATAGTAAAATGGGACAAATAATGAGCATCAACTGTAAACGTGCCTCTGTGCCTTCTTGTGCTAAGGTGAGGATCCTGACACGCAAACCTTTTCACTGAGAAACCCTGTCAACCCACACTCTTCTGAAGAAGTCCTTTCCAGACTCTGCTACAGGCGACCATGGCCAAGAGGGTGGCCATCATTGGAGCTGGCGTTAGTGGCTTGGCCGCCATTCGGTGCTGTCTGGAGGAGGGGCTGGAGCCCACCTGCTTTGAGAGGAGCGATGACATGGGAGGGCTGTGGAAGTTCTCGGTGAGTGGCACATCTCTGGGACACCAGAGGAAGGGGATGGGTTCCCAGCGCAGAACAAATCTGATTAGTTCTAATTCAGAGCCAGACAGCAGACCACAGAAGCTCCCGATCTGGAAAGTAAAAATCTTACCTCTCCGGTCACACTAACATCTGACCACTCAAAACTACTTCAAAGCAGCAGGACTTATGACTGGAGACAGAGGGTCTGGTGCCAGCAATGAGATAAAAACACGCTACCTCCTTCCCAGGTCGCTGAAAGGCTTCTGTCAATCACTGCTCTTAAAGGTCAAGAATAAGGTAAAAAAAAAAAAAAAAAGAAAAACAAATCTGAACTAAGACCAGAAGGCGTGAGTTCTAGTCTCAGCTCTTAGGTTTTCCTAGGCAAGTTGTTTTTTTCCTTTCTGGACCTTGAATACTCATTTGTTAAAAAAAGAAGTTGGAAGATAGGTTCCCTCTAATGAGCTTCCCATTTCTAACAGAATATGAGTCTATGATTAATTTACATCTCTGATGAGATACAAGTGATTATAAATGCTGATTATGTAAGTGGCTATTGGTTATCTATTGATTCCAAACCCAGAGAGAAAAATGGTGGTCTTTGCTATCTGATCATTTATAGAAATGACATAGATTTCAAAAGCCAGGTTTGGAGAGGCTTCTAGCCTTTGTGTCCTGACTCTCCCATTGTGACTGGATGTGAAAGGTTTGTGTTTGGCTTGAAGACATTAAACCCACATCCTTGGTCCCATAACCATCTTCCATTGTTAGTTATTGTCCAACCTGCATCAATGGACTCCTTGGATAGAATTGATCAGTGCTAATTCAAAACACGTTTGTATTCATCTCAAAAGGTGTGTGGCTTTTGTCTTTATTTATTTATTTATTGTTGCTTTACATCTTTGTTTCTATTAAATCAAAAGAATTACACAAGGTCCCTAATTTTGTTTTCCATTACAGAATAATCAAGAGTTAATTTTTTTTTCAAAAATCCCATTCTCTCACATTTGCATTTGCTTAATTTTATTAAACTAAATCATGAAGTGGCTCTCTACCATCTCTTCAATAACATCTAAATGCTGAAGGAGCCTCTCTTCTGGCAGGGTTTGCGCCAGGAATGAGATGTAAATATGTGGCATGACCCCTCTACTAAAACGGTCCCATCCACTGGAGGAAGCAAGCCATAATATAAGGCCACAGTTTTTTGGAAGCCAGTGGGCAAAACTCATTTAACTGGCAAAACATTTATTGAAAGTCATTAGGTCCAGGGCTGGGGTTGTGGCTCAGGGATAGGATGTGTGCAAGCACCACATAAAAATAAGTAAATAAAATAAAGGTATTGTGTCCAACTAAAACTAATATATATATATATATATATATATATATATATATATATATATATAGTCATTAGATCCAAATACACAAGTTGAATTGACGTGAGACTAAGGCTCACTTTGTGTGATATGGCAGACATTTTAACACATTAAATTACAGTTTGAAACCCAGGATTTCACCAGGAGTGTTATGGGGCAAAATCCCAAAATGTACACATTTCAAAATAGATTTGGCCCTAAGAATTTCAAGTAAAAGATGATTGAACTTTATAATAACAAGATAACCCGGATGACTGTCAATGGGCAAAGGCCTTGAGATTTTAGAAGTGGACTAGGGAAATCTTAGTGGGTCCAAAGCCAATTCCTGAGCCTTGAAGGATGTCCTCAGGCACAGGAAGTAAAGGACCACTGTGAGATGGGATTCCAGAGACTGCCGTTCCTACTCAGTGACAGTCATCAGGTGAGCCAGCCCCAGTACCCCAGGGCATCAACAGCCCCTGAAAGGCACAGAGAAGGCGTAAACTCCTGCATCCAGGGAAGAACCCACATGTTACTGCTGCCACCAGATCAGGAAATTTATGGGAGCAGTAAGTGACATCAGTAAGATGCAGAATCAGACTCGTGTGACCCACTGTAAATGCAAAATCCTACTCAGAGGCCCAGTGGGGATGTGAACGTGTCCAAATACCTGAAACTTTAGCCTCCTTAACGCACCCCATCCCTTCTTTCTTTTCTAAGGAAAGTGGTGTTGGCACAACATCTGATTCAACAGGGAATTTTTTTTAATGTGTTATATAAGCTTTTATCCTGCAAACCTCACACAAGGTGTGTGGAAAGACAGAAATCTGATAACTCACAACTTTTCACTAGGTGCTTTTCTGAGAAATGGAAACCACGTGGGATTTAAACACTAGCAACCTGAATGTAAGAAAGTTTTACGTTTCAGACACCCCATACAGGGCCTCAGGACCTCAAAAGGTTTTATCGTTACTGCAATAAGACATTGTTCAATGTGCAATAGATTAGTGTCATTTTGATCGAAAAAAGAAAAACAATAGAACTGGACTCTGTGGACATTTTTTCCCACTGATTAATTTATCCACTCAACCAATGCATGCTAAGTACACTACGCGCAGGGTGTTGTCAGGCTATCGCTGCACCAGGGAACCTGTATCATAAAAGTAGAGAGAAAACTAGGGTTAAAATAGCAGAAGTGAAGACCTGGGTACAGCATAAAGGCAGCAGGTGGAGGTGGAGGAGACTCAGTCACTGGTGAGAGGAGAGGGAAGCAAGCGCAAGGAGGCAGGACAGGTGGACAGAGATGGAGTATGGGGGAAAAGCAGGCCAGAGTGCTGGAGAGTCAGCCCCTGACCTTGCCCTGAGTACTTATGTCCTAGAGAAGAGGGGGGAGGAACACAGATTGCGAGGCCAGCAGTGATAAGGTCCCGGCAGCGGCGTGGACCTCTGGTCCAGGACAAGGTGTCCCCGCAGAGGCAGAGGCAGCCTGTGCCTGCCCACTGGCTCAGGCCTCTCCACGTGTTGAAATAACGAGACGCGGGCCCTGGAGCATTGTGGTTATATAACATGTTTTCTTTTCCTCTGTTTGAAGAACAGTCTTTGAGGGTAAATTCCAAATGTTTTTTTCTCTGTGTTAAGATTGGCTGGGGTCAAGGGATAGGAACAGAGAGTCATTCGAGATGAAAATAATCCCAGACTTTTCACCTCTGTTTCCCAGAGCAGAGTCCTGTAGTCCCCAGGGCTCCGCCCTTCTGCCTGTCCGGGGCATCTGAGGAGCCTCGTCCCCCCCTCTTCTCCCAGCCAAGGGCGGAAGACACAATCTGAGAGCAAACAGGACGCACTCAGACCCGAGCCCTGGGCCAGGAGCCTTTGTGCCTTTTTCCCAACTCTACAAAATTTCCAAGTGAGACGAAAAAGGTGAAAATCCCGAGGTTAGAAGGTCTGAGACACCCAGCAACCACAGTGCAGGAAGCTTGTGTTTTCAACTTGAGAAGAAACACAGGCAGCCCCCGGCCCCCAGAGACACCCGCCTCTCCCCTCTTCCAGCAGTGTGTCTCCTCTCCCAGGGGTTAGTTAGCTGGGGTGGGAGAAGACAGACCACAGGGGGAAGTCCCCCCTCCTCCATTGCACAAGAGTTCCACGAGCCTTGGAGGCTGCCAGCCTCCTGATGGGTTCTCAGGGCAGTACACTGCGTACACTTCCATCCTGTCCTTGCCACAGAGAGGAAATGTTTATTTCCAGTTGAGCTTTAGACCGTCTCTCAACATGAAGCCACGTTTCAATGACACAATGGCTTTAAAATGAAGTACCAAGATTTAACATGAGTTCTAAGGCCTCTGGCTTCCTGTGCTTCTTTGGGGAAGAGGGAACACCAACAACTGGTGAGTTCAGGACGTCTTCCAGGACAGAGTCCACTGACTGTGGGGTTCTCAGACTGCGCTTCCTGGGCCAGCAACAGGAGCTGTTCCTGGAACGCCTTAGACGCACTCCCCCCAGGCCCTGCCAGATCTGAGACTCTGTTGGCGCGACCAGGAACCTGTTCTGAGGCGCCAGTCCTCCCAGGGACCCATCACATCAGAGCTGACGAGCCACCTCAGTATGGGGTTCTGGGGCCAGGGAAGTGCGAGCTGGATGTTCGTGCAGCAACCAAACAGGCCAAAAGCCACAGCCTCCTTTGGATCGTTTTGATGTTGTTTCTTAACATAAGCCTGAGATCAGAACATGGTGGTGCAAGATCAGAAGAGGAAGAGGCTAAGGGACTCCAAGAGCAGAGCTGACCTTAGGGCAATCGGGATAGGAAGGTTAACGTGGAAGATGGCCGGGTTCTGTGCCAGGCTCTGTGTGCAGGCTTCCACTCCACGTCTTACAGAGAACTTTTAACTTTTGCTTTTTTTTTTTTTTAATATTCAAAAGGCTGTAGTCAAATAAGAGTGGAATATTCTCAGGGGAACACCCTCCTTGGCCATCTCTTAAAGCCTTGTTGCTGTTCCTAGGAGCACGCAGAGGAAGGCAGAGCCAGCATTTACCGGTCCGTATTCACCAACTCTTCCAAAGAAATGATGTGCTTCCCAGACTTCCCGTACCCCGACGACTACCCCAACTACATGCACCACAGCAAGCTCCAGGAGTACCTCCGGGCCTTCGCTCACACCAAGAGCCTCCTAGAACACATACGGTTTGAGGTGGGTCCTTGGGACTCGCACGGCTGCTGTTCACGTGGGGTACAGGCTGGAGAAGGGGGCACCTGCCGTGGAAAGCAGAGCTGAGTGCTCCCAAACCTCTCCAACCCGTTGTTGGTTCAGATGATAAAATACTCACTGGGATTTTTGCTCCCAGGCTCATTCCCCACTGGTCTCCTAGAGCTTCCAAAACACCTTAGAAAATGCTGGAGGCTGAGATCCCATAAGACTGCCCTTCCCACCCGCAGGCTCTGATGTTTGGGAAATAACCCAAACTTCTCTAGCCGGTATTTCAAATTCTGTGGGTTCAATGTCAATGAGCTGTGCCTCAGGGGAGAGTGGCTTGGGCTAAAAATTCTGACACTTTGAACAGGTACAACTTAGGGACCGACAGAGTCACGGCCCACCCTTCACCCACCTGGCTCACTGCGTTTCTCCTTGAAGGGTCATAAAGGCTATGACACGAAGTGCTGTTTCTGTGATGAGGATGTTTTATGCTTATTTGAAACCCTTGGCCTCAACTGTTCAGTGCACACACAGAGAATGGGCAAAATAATCAGCAAAATTATGGGTTGGGGGTCCTATTTACATAAGAATTTACCCGGAGTAGTTCCAAACACACAGCTAAAATAAAACTTTCTAGTTGTCATTTCACTCCACTCATTTACTCATTGCACTCATTCATTTCACTTATTTATGATATTGCAAATGCACGAGGTGCCTCACTTTAGACATTAATGAAGTTCCCAGCGTGGGCTCTGCACTGTGGTATGTTGTGTGTCCAAAAGAACAGCCAGAGACTCAGCCCTCAATCAACACATATCCAAACAAATACGTAAATGTGAACATTTAGAGTAAGTGACAACATAAGATTTAAGTGACAATTTAAATCAAAAGAGGAAAGTTTAAAAAGCTGTCTATAGTTCATAAAGAAAATAACACTATGGAGATCATAAAGCAAGAGTGTACTTTGGGGCTGGGCGTGGTGGCGCCCACCTGTAATCCCAGTGACAGGGGAGGCTGAGGCAAGAGGATCACAAGTTCAAGGCCAGCCCCAGCAACTAAGCAAGGCCCTAAGCAATTTAGTGAGACCCTGCCTCAAAATAAAAAATAATAAAAAGTTTACTGGGAATGTGGCTCAGTGGTAAAGCACTTCTGGGTTCAACCCCAAGTACCAAAAAATAAGAAAGATACCCTTTGAGGAAGGAACTTTTCTTAAAAAATAAAATAAAATTTGAGTTGGTAGGTGTTGGGTAAGTGAGTGACATGACTAAAATTATGGAGGGGAAATGTGACCCACTTATATAGAGAATAGTGAGCAAACCAAGTTGGCCAAGAGGGAGATCATTTCAGTTAGGAGAGGTTTAGCCACATACATCAGTAAACCTGCATGTTCCGTGGCTTTAAAAACAATGAGGGTGACTGTGCAGCCATGTAAATCAAACCTGGGTTGGGCCCATCCCAAGAGGGGTGATGGCACCACAGCCATCAAGGTCTTTACCATTTTAGCATGAAGTTATATCATCAAGGTTGCCTCACCATCCAAAACAGCTGCTGAAGCTGAAGTCATCACAACCACCTTCTAGGCAAGGAAAAAGAGGAGGGGATGAGGGGCAAAAGAATGTTCTCTGTCTGAATCAGTGCCCTTCACAGACTCCCCTGGAGAGCCTATCCAGCGCTGTCTGCTTACATTTCAGAGCCTGGGAAGTGTATCCCTTTGCTGGTTATTTGGTCACTCCAAACAAAATCAGGGTTCAGTTAGAAAGGGAGGAGGGGATTAGATAGTGGGGAAGCCCACTGTGGGACTATAGGAAAATAAGACTAAAAAGTAAATTGGAACAAAATCATGTGGACTTTTAATTATGGCACTAGATGTGTAAAATGGATCCTAGATACTGTGGAGTAACTGAAATAATTTTGAGCAGGAGACAGAATCAATGTGATCTTTAGAAAGACCATGTGATGAGCAGGCCCGTGGCCATCAGAGGACGGAAGACAGGCTCCTTAGAGACCCTTGCAGCAACCTGTGCACAGGGTTATCAGAACTGGACCCAAGGCCACATTAGAGTCAGGAAAACCAAGAGAACAAGAGTGAGATTTGAGATAAGGGTTTGTTTGGCTTCAGAGGAGAATGAAGAAATACCACGCAGAACAAGCTGTGGGTAAAGCCAGGTGGCTGGTAGGTTCATGTCATCTTCAAAGAAATACAAACATGGAAACCAGTTTGGGAGAAAACGTAAGTAGATCATCATAAAAACACGGCAGTAGCCCTCCGGGATGGCAGGAAGGAGTCCACGGTGATGCACGTGAGCTCAGCCCGTGGGAGTTGCTCACATTTCCAAGGGAGAGCCTCTGCGTCCACGGGGACACACCATCTGTACCTCACAGATGCCAGCCAGGGAGGGCAGGAAGCCATGTCAAGGGGCGGCAGTGAGCATGGCCTGGATTGTTCCAAGGCACCAGTCACAAAAGGCTCGATGTCATTTACCCCCAATCAACTAATGAGATGTCAGAAAGACAGAAATACCAGGGGTGATGTTCCTTATGCAATTTGAAGACTCACTGAAGATTTGCCTTGACTCCTATTTTAATCTTTCCATACATTTCCCAATGGCCAGGAAAGCTCACAACAATGATTTCTTCCACAGAAAATACTGCAAGAAAGAAATTAAAAAAAAAACATAAAAATTATAAATAAAAGGAACGTTTCTGGTTTTCTTTAAGACTCTGGTTACCAGTGTCAAGAAATGTCCTGGCTTCCTAGTCACTGGCCAATGGACAGTGGTTACTGAGAAGGACGGGAAGCAGGAATCCACTGTTTTTGACGCTGTGATGATTTGCTCAGGACATCACGTGTACCCCAATCTGCCAACGGATTCTTTTCCTGGTAAGTATGAAAAAATATATAATAATCTGGGGCTCATATGCAAACATCAGGGTTGACAACAGATCTTTCAATAGATGGGACCTAACTGTTCTTAAGTTACCAGAGATTTCCCCCAGCCCAGGCACATTTTCTTATTTATAGGAAAAACCCTAAGACTCTAAATTCATCTTCCTCCACAATTTGCAAATTGATTCTTGTAATCCCAGTGGTTTGGGAGTGTGTGTGTGCTTGTGGGGTGTGTACGGAGGCACACTCCTGGGCCGTCCCAAAGTGGCAAATGTCACAGCCTCTCTGCCCCCTCTACTACTCTTCTTTCCTTCTTTGCAAAAGGAACACAGTGCCCTCAAAGATAGAGTCCCATTTCCAGGCTTGAGGTCCACAGGACAAAAAATAGTGGAAGGTCAGGAAGAATGGAAGACCCAACTGTGGATGTTAGTGGGCAGTAGATGCAGCGGTTACTTGTGTGAGGTCAGAACTCCTGGGATTCACTCCCTATTCCTCCAGCGCCTGACCACTGAAGCTCTTTGTCCCAATTTCTTCACCTCTTAAAATAGAGATATCAATGCTGACCATTCAGGGCTGTTATCCAGAGTCGATTGTTTAAAACATGACAAGCACTTAGCAGAGGATCCAGCCCACAGTAAGCACTGCACATGCATTAAATACTATTATATGATTGTCCAAACAGAAATTCTAACACCTTGAGATGTTAAGACACCAGAGGTAATTATTTGTGGGCTTAGTGTCAAGAACTAAATGGGGAAGGCACGTCATTTAGGGAATTTTTAAAACTAAGGCTGATAATAGGCTTTTAAAAAATAGTAAAAAATTGAGTCTTCACAATTTCCAAAAATCACTCAGACCCCTCCCCGTTGCGCCTAGGCCTAGAGCAATTACAAGGCAACTACCTCCACAGCCGTGATTACAAGGGCCCAGAAGCCTTCAGGGGGAAGAGGGTCCTTGTGATCGGCCTGGGGAACTCGGGATCCGACATTGCTGTTGAGCTCAGTCGTCTGGCTGCACAGGTACGTGACCTAATGGCTTTGGGGAAGAACACACACTAAATCAACAGCCTGGGCCCTGACGATGGTGTCCGCCATGTCATACCACCTGCTGATGTGCCCTTTAAGTCAAGGAGGCCCTGACACACATCTGCAAGTGCAGAAAGGTAATGTGGCCCAGGCCGGGAAGAAAGTTCCTTCTGTTGAGACCTGAGGTGAGTGTCCAGGCATAATTACATGAGTAAGTGTGTCTATGTAGGTTTTTGTGTTAATTTTATGTTCTGATAGCCTCCCCGTCAATCGGTTCCTAATCAGGCCCTATCTGTATTTGTGTCACACTATTTCCCAGCGCTTACCATGAGAAAGGTACTGCGTCTGTTCTGAAGTTCTGGAACAGGCACACGGTTTGGTATTGGGGACCGCTTATTCCTTCGACAGCCAGTGTTCAGTAAATATTGGGTCCTTATTATGGGTCCAAACTCTGTTATGCTAAAAAGACAGGCGTAGTTAGAGCAGTTCCTGACTTCAAGGCCAGGAGAGGGGTGGACAGGGCACGAGACATGCGTGGACCATCATGAAAGGCAGTGTTAGTCTCCCAGTGGGACGAGTGTGGCCACAGCCGCACCATGAAAGGCACCTACCCCCAGGCCGAGCTGGACGGGGACCAGCTGACCCACGCTTGACCTGGCCCTGAAGAAACCCAGTGTATTTTTAAGGAGACAAGTACTCAATACATAAACTCATAAATGGATGTAAATAAAATCTAAAGTGTTTTAAAGCTAAACATCCCCTCAAGTTGTCACAGGGAGGCTAGAACAGACCAGAGGCCAGACTCGCCTTTGTTTGGAAAGCCCAGGACTCCTGGGGCAGGTGCACGGGGAGGACTGGGGAAGGACACCGGGCACAGAGAACAGAATTACTCCGTGGTGTCTCCGTGGCCTCGTTTCATGTAGAGATTCAGCTGCACCTTTCCCTTCAGCCCGCCTCCTTCTACCACCCACCCTCCTGGGGCTCCCAGACCCCCGTCTTGGTCTATGAGTAGGTTAGAGTAAACGTGCCCAGCTGAATACTTCTTAAGGCAGGTTCTCATCCTGTCAACACTGTCACCAGCCCTCGGGGGAGGGAGAAGGGATCCTGCCTCCACCTACTTTCAATTATGGACTTTTTCATCCAGACCCTCGCCTTTGAGAGGTTTTAGTCAGTTTTATTTTGGTTTGGTTTGGTTTGGGTATTTTTGTTTGTTTGTTGTTTGTGGTTTTCTTCTGTGACCAGAAGACCTGACCAGAACAATTTTAGAGGAGGACAAGTTTACTTGGTGCTCATGGCTTCAGAGGCCTCAGTCCATACGGAGCCAATTCCGGCGCTCTTGGCCTGAGGTGAGGTACAACATCATGGTGTGGCGGAGGAAAGCAGCTCAGGATATGACAACCAGGAAGCAGAGAGAGCTCCCCTCACCACAAGCAAAATATCAACCCCAAGGGCACGCCCCCATGACCCCCCTCCACCAGCCACCTCCTACCTGCTGAGTTACCATCCACTCAATCCCTACCCCTGGATTTATGCACTGATTAGATTAAGGCTCTCATAACCTGAACGTTTCACCTCTGAAATTTCTTGCATTATCTCCCACATGAGCTTGGGGGAGAGACCTGATTTCTGAACCATAAGAGAAGGTGTTCCTATCTAAATATCGAGGGAAATATGTAGAAGTGTCCAGAGAAATTGAGTCATATTTGCTCATTTCTTACAAAGTGATGCTGCAGACTGTGTTGCCTTTCCCTTCCAGGTCATCATCAGCACCAGAAGTGGTTCCTGGGTCATGAGCCGGGTTTGGGATGACGGCTACCCTTGGGACATGGTGTATGTTACCCGCTTTGCCTCCTTTCTCCGGAATATCCTTCCATCATTTGTCTCTGACTGGTTATATGTCAAGAAGATGAACACGTGGTTTAAGCATGAGAACTATGGCCTGGTGCCTTTAAATCGGTACTACAAATAGTATATATTTTATCTCTCAAAAAGCAGGGCACTAGTTCAAGCAAATTCTTTCTCTCTCGACCCCACTGTCATTGTCTCATTGGGTCGGGTGGGATTAAATTAAAAACTGCACAGATGACACAAAAGACTGGATGATCATTATGGGTTGGAAACCTTGTTGAGACCAGTTGGGAGAAATGTATGCACATGAATCCGAATGGGCGTGGACCAGGCAGCTAAGTCATCCTGAAGAGCAGGATTCAGAGTAGCCACAAGCCATAGCATAGGGCGTGGAGGGCAGAACAAATATTTTTTAAGACTATCTTGTCCATGCTTATGGGTGAATGAGGTTATCAATAACATCTGCTTCCCAAGACTCTTGTCATGTTCCATAGGATAAGAAAGATAAAAATGATTTTGTAAGCCATAGAGCATTACAAATATCGGCTCTTAGCCTCAAGGATTCTGATGTGTTTCTAAGGCACATTTAACAGAATAGTGTCTCTACCAGTAGGAAATCTCAGAGCAAAAGTAGATGCTTCCTCCACCCCTGGCAACTGCACAGTTTTGAGAGGCAGCCAGGAGACAGGGCACCTATAAAGCAATGAAGGTCCATAGTGCCGATGTGACCTGTAAAATTACTAAGTTGTTCATTTATTTACTTCTTCTGGAGAAAAAGCTCGATACTCACTAATGAGGAAGGCGTTCTGATTAGAAAGATCAGTATGGGGTGGGGGAACTTTTAAGTGGGTAAGAAAAGAAAGGCTTCACTAAGACATTTCACCTGCTGGCCATGTGGGCCAAAAAGTTCCACTGCGTGTAGAGACACCAGTTAAGGAAAAATGAGGAGGAACTGTAAATCAAGCAACAGGTTTAGGAATGAAACCCTGATCCAAAGCATTTATCCTACCCAATCTCACTGACTGCTATATCCCTCATGAAAAATTAATGTTGACTTTACACCTTTAAAATAGATATGTTTAACACAAAAGGCATTCCAAAGCTTGAGCCGGTTAATATATTTTGTCCTGTAAAAGTAATTGCAAACTATATTTTGGCTTCTCCATTTAGACAGTTAATACTCAGTTTTGGGAATCCATTCATTCTGAGAACAAAGCTCCCTCCCAGAAAAGGTTTCAGGTACCCTTATCACTCTGCCTTTGCTTGAGGTGAAGGAGAACAGAATCAAAAACAGGCTTTGCTGTGACCTCCTTTCTTTTTTTCTTTTTTCTTTTTTTTGTGTGTAAGGCAAAAAAGAGGTTACAGAATTACAGAGGTGGAAAACTGTGGAAATACATAAAGATAAATTTTAACATTTAAACAGTTTCTTGGTATATGAGATACTTAGAGGAAATTCCACAATCCTTGAAGGAAACTTAAGTCAACATGAAATATGTTGTCATAAAAAATATCATTCCTAGAATTTTGGCAACCAAAGCACAGTATCTAAGTTGCTATTTTTTATTTTGTGACCAGAGCTGATGGAAGAAAACCAAACATGGCAATAAAACACTACGAATCTTTAAAATCTTCCCTACACATGACCTTAAAATTGGAATGATAATTCACTTACAGTAATTGTGCTGGCATGTGCCGGGTATAGTTCAAAGTGCTCTCTAGATAATTGTTCATTTAGTTCTCACAAGAACCCTATGAAGAAGATACTAGGATTCTCCCCTTTGTACACATAAGGAAACAAAGAGAAGCAACAGCCAGAAAGAGTCGGAGCTGTCACGCACTTGGGCCTTGTGGCTTCGGTGTCTACACTCTTAAGCACTTTATTATGTCTAGAAGAGGTTTTATTCTATCTATCTGATGAATCGCCAAGTCGTAAAAGCACCCATAAGAGAAGGCTCAAGTTTCAAGGGTCAAAAAAGGAAGCTCCAACAACATCTTAAGAATTGTCACAGATGTAGGAAAGGAATTTTCCAAGAGACTTCTGTGACCTTCATGCTAATGGTTAGCGGATCCAATTTGGTAACAGTTCTGTAAGCAGCTGCAGATATTTCTTGGAAATGAGGTATTTTTTAACATTTTTTCCACATTTTTTATTGGTGCATTATAGTTGTACATATTGATGGGATTAATTGTGACGTATTCATACATGCACACAATATAACACTAGAATTTGGCCAATATCACTCTCCAACATTTAAAAACAGTTCTCTAGGTGGCTAGCTTGAGCTAAGAATCATAGCTCTCACAGGCAATGGTCTTGAAGTTATTGAGCGTATCTAATACACGTTAAATTTGTAATAAAAATGGGTCAAATGAATGCATATCAGATCTCTTTTCTACTGGTTATAAGGAATTTTTCATGCCTTATAAACATGAATTTATTCATTTAAAAATGTCACAGTGGCTTTATTAAATAGTAACAGGTAACTATTCACAAAATCACTAATCAACCACTAATCATAAAGCTAGTGACTGGACCATCACACACTTTCTTTATGTTTTCTTTCCTTAGTGCAGACATACATGCTTTAAACATGACTTCAGCTGTTGCTTGGAAAGGAGGTGTTTCACAGCAAGGCTGTTTGCCTCTCGTTTCTGCAGTCCCCTGAGGAAAGAGCCTGTGTTCAATGATGAGCTCCCATCCCGCATCCTGTGTGGCACCGTGTCCATAAAGCCTGGGGTGAAGAAGTTCACAGAGACCTCAGCCGTGTTTGAGGATGGGACGGTGTTTGAGGCCATCGACTCCGTCATCTTCGCCACAGGCTATGGTTATGCCTACCCCTTCCTTGATGACTCCATCATCAAAAACAGGAACAACGAGGTCACCTTGTACAAAGGCATCTTCCCCCCTCAGTTTGAGAAGTCGACCTTGGCTGTGATTGGCCTTGTCCAGTCCCTGGGGGCTGCCATCCCCACAGCTGACCTGCAGGCCCGCTGGGCTGCGAAAGTGTTTGCAAGTAGGTGGGCCATCTGTATTTCATTCTTTTGGTCAATGAGCATTTATGGAGCACCTCCTGTATGCCAAGTACTGTGCTAGAAATCCAACGGGGTAAGATAAGCAGGTGCTCCTTGACTTCACAGAATTTCATATGGGACGTGGGGGGTTGCCACAACAGGGGAAGCTGTGGGGTGTTCTGGGGAGGGAAGCTGGCCAGTGACTCCATGGAACAGCATGAGGAAAGACACCAAGGTGAAGAATGACATTGCATGTGTGAGGGAGCAGAAGCATTTGGTGTAAGGGAATATAATGCAGAGGAGGGGAGTAGCAAGGGATGAAGGGAGGTGCTAGATCATCAGGGGCAAGAAAGGCTATAAAAAGCAGCCTGACCTTCTCACAGGGAACTGAGCAGCCTTTGCAAGGGTTCAAGTAAGAGAGGACAGCATGGGGTCAGTGCAATGACAGGTGCATTGCAAAGGCGAGGAGGGCCTGGTGGGCACTGGGGCATGCTGGAGAGCTGGTGAATATCAGCTGGTGTCACAATCACAGTATCACTCTGACTCTGTGACAGTCTTCTCCCCCCGCCTTCCTTGATTCTAGACCCCAGGAGTTCCAGGGGCTGCAAGAATTCTTGTGTGAGGAGATCAAGAATATGAGAATTACATGGAGAAAGTCTCAAATATATGGATTTAATTACTCCAGTGACTGGATTATCATTACTATTGAACATGTCCTTTTATTCAAGGATTCAAGAATCTTGGTCAATGTAAATACAACCTGCCTAACAATGTTCATAAAAACTTACAAGGAATGAAGAAACTATTGCAATTATAGATTGTTTGTACATTTATGCTTTCTAAAAATATTGTGGATACATACATTCCTATTTCAAATGCACCATGAGGGATGATTATTTAAATGAATGCTGCTGTGAAATCTCTTCTATAGGTCTTCCTCTGTAAAATCCTTCTATTGTCCCTGTCTCTTGAAAGGCACAGCAGTGCCCAAAGCCTGGGGTTTTATGGGAAGACAGGATATAGGTATAAACCTAGGAAATCTGCTTGAAACAAAAGGTGTCATTTTATTCATTTATCAAATATTTATTGAAAACCTACTGTGTGTCAGGCTCTGTCTTGTACTTAGGACACAACATCAGAGAGAGAAGACCCAGATTCTGACCCCTTTCCTTTCTAGTGGAGCATACAGTAAATGATGGCTATAGAGTGCCACTAGGCAGAGGTAAGGTGCTCACAATGCCCTGGGCGTGCTCCTGTCTGCAAATGTCGTACTGACTTTCCTCTGGTGTTACAAATGAGCTACAGTCATCAGTCAGAAGAAGGCTCCATAGAGGTAGTAAAATTTGCAAAAACCTAAAATTCACCTGCTTTCCCTTAAAATATGCTCTGTGGCTGCGGGCTTAGGTTGAAGCCCACACTTCCTCCCGTTGTCTTGTTTAGCTACCATGAGCCTTAGAATGAATGGTTTTAGCACTTTGTTTCTTTTCTTGGTTTTATTCCCTGAGCTTCAGGGGTCTTGTTTAGGAAGTCGGTGCCAACCCCAATATGATGGGGCGCCCTGTGTTTTCTTACAGCAGTTGCGAGGTTTCTGGCCCAAGTCCTAAGTCTTTGACCCACTTGGGCTTGACTTCTGTGCAGGGTGAGAGAGAGCTATCTCATTTCACTCTTCCACATAGGGCTGATCAGTTTTCCCAGCACCATTTGTTAAAAAGGTTCTCCAACAAATATTTGGGGCACCTTTGTCAGATGGCTGTAAGTATGCGGTTTGTCTCTGCTTTCAATTCTGTTCCATTTGGTCTTCATGCCATTTTGATGCCAATATCATGCTGGTTTTGCACTACACCTCTGTAGTATAATTTGAGATCAGGTATTATGATGCCTTGTGATCATTCTTCTTGCCCAGAACTGCTTTGGCTATTCTGGGTCTCTGATTTTTCCAAGGGAATTTAAGGACCTACTTTTTTCTAGTTGTGTGAAGAATATCATTAGTATTTTGATGTGGATTGCACTGAATCTCTGTATTGCTTTTGGTAGTATGGCCATTTTGACAATATTAATTGTGTCCATCCAAGAACATGGGAGGTCTTTCCATCTTCGAAGGTCTTCTTCAATTTCTTGTTTCTGAGTTCTATAAGTTTCATCACAGAGATCTTTCACCTCCTTGGTTAGATATTAATTCTCAAGTACTTTTTTAGGTTATTGTGAATGGGATGGGTTTTTCTGATCTCTCTTCAGCAGAATCACTGTTGGAGTATAGAAAAGCCTTTGATTGATGGGTGTTGAGCTTTTATCTGATTATTTTGCTGAATTCATTTATCAGCTCCTGAAGTCTTCTGGTGAAGTTTTTGGGGTCTTCCAGAAGTAAGCTCAGTTAATCAGCAAACAAAAATAGTTTAACTTCTTTTTTTCCTTTTTGTATCCCGTTAATTTTCTTCTTTTGCCTGATTTCTCTGGCTATTGAATAGAAGTGGTGAGAGTCGACAGCCTTGTCTTATTCCTGATTTTAGAGGAAATGTTATCAGTTGTTCTGCATTCAGTATGACATTGGCTTTGAGTTCATCACAAATGGCCTTTATATGCTGAGATAAGTTCCTTCTATCCCTAGTTTCTCCGGCATTTTTAACATGAATGGGTGCTGGATTTAACCAAAGGCCTTTTCTGTATCTAAGGAGATGATCACGTGATTCTTGTCCTTAATTCCATATAAACGGTGAATTACCTTGATTGATCTGCTTATGCTGAAACCCACGTGACCATGGTGTATTATTTTCTTGATGTGCTTTTGAATACAGTTTAGCAGATTGTTCCTTGGGAAAACTTTTAATAAGAGGATACAAACAGGAAATCTGAAGAAACCCAAAGCTATTACATGCATGAGATGCCCCTGAGGTATGTTGAGGACCAGGCCCTCCATGACCTTGTGGGAATGGGAGACTGGATGACTTGAAGCTCCAAACATCTCTGCCATCACTGTCTCCTGCCACGGCTGCTTTGCCATTCCCTGAGAAAGTTCATAACTTCTTGGGTCTTTGTGAATCCTTAGTCTGCTAAAGGTACCAAAAACAGCTCTTCTTAACACAAACATTTCATAAGTACTGGATGAATTCCCTCATGTGTCATTGCATACTTCTGATTCCTTTGTCTTTTCAATATTTTTCTCTTCATTTCTTTTTCAGACTCATGTACCCTACCAACCACAAATGAAATGATGGATGACATCGATGAAAAAATGGGGAAGAAACTAAAGTGGTGAGTGCTGGCCCTTGCTAATGACAGAGTCCCAAAGTTGCCTCTGCACATAGCAAAGCACCATCAGTCTGTAATTTGTCACCCGTCAGAGTTCATGTTTTTTGAATACCTTCTATAATCAACTGTATCAGATGGGTAATCAGTCACTAAACCTCTATTTAACTCTAGAACAAAGATTCTCTGATAAGAACAATTTTGCTCTCCAGGGAACATTTGGTAAAATCTGGTCACTGCGAGCAGGGAAGGCTTACTACTGGCCTTTTACAGTTAGAGTCTGAGATGCTGCTGACCATCCTATTATGTTGAGCATAATCCACCAACCAAAGGAACATCCAGCTCAAATCAGAATAGTGCTGCTGCTGCTGCTGAGAAATGACTCCCCAGCGTTCCGCAAACGCTCCTACTCCATCAGCCCTGTCTGCCAGCAAGTTAGCTAGTTGGAAATTGTGCAGTGGCTTCTAGTTTGCTGGAATAAGAAAGCCAAGTAAAATCTTGGGTTGAACTTCCCTGCCCTAGTTTTTTCTTCCAACAGAGTTTGGCTTCAGATTCATCCAAATGTGTTTTCAAGCATAACATCAATGAGAATTGTAGAAAGTCATGTAAATGTCTAGGCGTCAGATACTTAAGTGGACTTTTCATGTTCATTACTTCTATAACAGAAGACATTTTTCAAATGATGTATCAAAAATCTGTTGAAAGGATAATTAGGTAAGGGGCACATAGACAACTGTGTGGGAAGTTTCTTCCTCTTTCAAGCCTCTGACACATTACTCCTCTAATGCCCCAAAGTGGGTGCCTGCTCAGGGCCTAGAGAAGAAATGGAATCCTCAGAGTGAACACAACCTCCCACGTGACCTCATGAGGTTCTCCTAGGAGTCACGGAGGCAGGCGATCCAGTGTGCTACGATTCCTGCAGCTTGATATCCTTTCCTTTAGAGGCCAACACGAAAAAAGAGGAAGGAAAAGAAGGCCTAAATGTCAATCTTATTACTTAAATGACCAACTACTCTTCCGGTTTCCTTAAGGATGAGGCCACACTCCAACTAAAAGTATGAAACAATGTACATTAATAAACGACAGCAATATTACACTGTTCACAGGCCAATATAAAAATCAAACGTTGGGGCAGATTCTATGCAATATTGTACAAAGAATAATTGTGTTAAAGAGTAACCTCAGTTGGGCTGGGGACATAGCTCCGTGGTAGAACGCTGGCCTGGTACGTATATTCAATCCCCATACTGCAATCCACGGTGAACTAAGTTAATCAATCACCTTGAACCAGGGGGTCAGTTTGTTCTAGGCCGTGTGGTCAGAGATAAAAGAAAACTATATCAAACTCAGATAGAGATTAGGAAGAAAAATGAAAGAAAAAGCTCACTTAGCCAAAAATAAAAAATAAAAAAAAACCCTTCAAATTTGTAGGAAAAGATTGGGCTGAGGGGCATAAATAGGGGTGCTGGCCAAAATATTATTATTCTGAGAAAAAATAAATAAAAATTCATGCTTCTGTTGGCAGCTGTGACTCCTACTCAGGCATGTTCTTTTCCCTCCTCAGGTTTGGCCAGAGCCACACCTTGCAGACAGATTATATCACATACATGGATGAGCTGGGCTCCTTCATAGGGGCCAAGCCTAACATACCGTGGCTCTTCCTGACCGATCCCCGGCTGGCCCTGGAGGTCTTCTTTGGCCCCTGCAGTCCCTACCAGTTTCGACTGATGGGACCAGGGAAGTGGGAGGGGGCCAGAAATGCCATCCTGACCCAGTGGAACCGGACACTGAGGCCAACCAGGACAAGAGCCGTCGGCGAAGCTCAGCAGCCCCATCACTTCTACAATTTGCTTAAAATGCTTTCATTCCCGCTGCTCCTTCTGGCGGTTTGGCTCACATTTTATTCATGATAAGGTCTTCTGGGTCTCAGAGTTCAGCCCAGGATTTTAATCCCCAAATAAGACACTGAGACACACAATCACCAGGTAGCCCCTCCTTCCCTTCCTACAGATGGGCATTTGAACCAAAGTGGAAATAAAACAGGAAATACCCAGCTGCTCTGTTTCTGAGGAGAATCTATTCTTTTAAAAGGCTTGTCACATGCTGAACTGAAGTATGGGATGTTTGAGATGAGGAGAAGTAGGGGAGGTTGATGGGTATAAACAGATTTTCCCACTGGAGAAAGTGTAGTAAGCTTTGTAAAAGTATTTTATCCTGTCATATAGCATATCAACCAGTGACTTTTCCACAATAATTAGTGTTTGACAATAAATCAATATAAAGGTTTATAACAATATAACAACTTAGACAAAATGAATAAGAAATTGCTTGAAAGAGGACTGGCAGTGTGGCCCAGTGAGTGGCAGAGTGCTTGCCTCACATGCGCAAGGCCCTGGGTTCCATCCCCAGTGCTGCAAAGCAAAAAGAAAACCCACTGGGAGTTCCACTAGGAAAACCCACTGGACATGTAAGAAGCAACACTGCCAATCATACGCAACCTCTACCAGAGAATTAAAGAACACATCACTAGAAACACTGGATGTTCATGGACACCGGAAAGAAGAGCTAGGATTAGGAAAGAACATGGGATTAGGGTGCAAGAGGCACCTGGAAATAAAACAGGAAATAACCAGCTTCTCTGTTTCTAAGGATGATATATTCTTTTAAAAGGCTTGTAGTAACTTACAAAAACTAACTTGAAACATATCAAAGAACTAAAAACAGACTTAAAATAACACAACTTGAGGAAGAAAACATAAGATAAAATCTTTGGGTAAGGCAATGACATTTAAAATACAATACCAAATGCACAGTTCATTTAAAAAATTATAAATTGTACTTTATCAAAATTAAGAATAGTTATTCTTAGGAAAGAAAATAGTGAGTATATTGATACTTACAACATCTGTATTAAGTTAGTATTTAATAAAAGCAAGATGAACCTGTCAAACTGGAGAAATAGAACATAGTGGGGGAAGTTCTGATTTGAGAAGAAAAATTCATAACAAGTTAGGTCAGTTTATTTTTAGGATTTACAAGTTTTATTCTAGTAACCAAACCAGATGCAGCTCCAAAGTGTTCTCTGTGTGTGTGTGTGTTCATGGCATGTGTTTTCCATACTAGATTATATAACAGAAAGGAGCCCATAAGAACTGGAGAGTGATTCCAAGGGTCCTCTGCACACACCTCTGTTACTACTCCATTTAGCCTGGGACCACAAATGAAGGATGATCTGAAATGTACAGCGTCCTGGAAAGAAAACCCGCTCTGAGTAGAGGGCAGGGTGGGAGAGCTCCCTGCCCTGCTCAGACCTGGTCCTAGGTGGGCGTTACTCCCACACTCTGGTGGAAGTGCAGGTTAGTGGAAGTGTGGAATTGGGTCCTTCAGACTTAAGTGTCTTTGGGCCAACTGGAGACTTCCTTGGAAAATGAGGCTCAGTGTCTTCTACAAGCAAATGGATAATATTTTCATTCAACTAGATTGGACAGAAAGCTCCATGCGCTTGGTGCTGTGTACTAGCGGACATCAGTGCAGCCCTTCCCTTTACCACCCATGCAAAAGAAGAAAACAAGGGGTCACTGAGGAGGAACAAGGAGCCAACAAGCATTCCAAACCCAAGGACACACCACTCTTCTGACTGGGACTCAGCTGATCGACTGTGAACTGTCTGGGTGTGGATGGGGTGTACCTATGATTGAATCTAGTGGAAGGACTGTACCAAACAAGATCATCAACAGTAAATCTCTTCATACCTGTTCATTATCCATAATGATCACTGATTTCCATGTAGCTGGCAGCCAGCCTGACAGGCAAGAGACTGCTCTGCTTTGTATGATGACACAAAGGAAACTGCACTTTTAATACTATACGTTGCTTTTGAAATGCTAACATCAATTAACACAGAAGAAGGAAATAACCGATATGGCCCTTAGTCGCAGAGGCTTTAATATTGACTCTCTGTTATGTATCCTGTGTCAGGCCTGAATCTTCTACAAACATCTCTTCATTAGTCTTTATGGCATTTCCTGTATTAACATCACCCTGCCCTGCTTTATAATGAGGAAATAAAAGCTTTGAGGTAGCGTGGGGATTAATGGCAAAGCCAAGCCTCTTGCACCCTAATCCCGTGTTCTTTCCAGAAGCTAATTGGCTGTCAGTCATTTCCTCTAAATAGCACATGAGGGTACTAAGAGCCAAAGGGACATGGGCATGTCACCACCCATGTGACATTCTCGTATGCAGAGAGAGGACTGCTCTTAATAGATATGCATAAATGCGTTGTACCCATTTTATTTATGTATGTGGTACATATATACATACATACATACATACATATACACACACATATATACACATACATATACACACACATATATACACATACATATATACACACACATATATACATATATACATATGCACACACATACATATATACACACTTATATATGCTGCATACATTGTATGTTTGTGTATATGGGTACATTATCGTATATATGCACATATTTACAGAAAATGGACACTATGTATTTAATCATATCCATGGGGAGTACTACCTACTTCATATATGAAGAATACTACATGTGTATGTGTATGCATGTGTACATATACATATAATGCATAAACATAGTATATATAATACCCAGTAAAAAATTTGATCAATATTACAAAGTGTCGGGAGCCTCCACACCGGAACCGAGCGCCCCTTAATCTTGAGTGATGAAGAGTGTGGAGATGTGGCAAGCCAGCCATGGGCTGTGTGTGTGAACTATGAGCACTGAGCGCACAGGGTGGACTGAACCCATGTTGCCCCTCTGTTTGGGAAGGCGACATTAGTGTCCTTTATCTCGCTCTGCCTATGATCCCCACACAGCACATGAAATGGACGTGGCCTTCCTAGATGTCAGTCAACCTGCTGACTGCAGACATCAGAAGCTAGACTCAACCCCCTGAAACCTGACCCCTTGCCTCATCTGAATGGCTTCTCCCCAATAAAAGGGTTCAGTACCTGCTCCTCACTCTCTTTATTGCCTGCCTTGCCCCCCTTGTGGGAGCTGTGGCTGATGAGTGGTCACTGAACCCAAAGGAAAGGTTCTTTCTGTGTCTGTGTCTTTATTTTTCCTGGATTCACTTGGAGCGACCCTGATCAGTTTAGTTGTGTGAAGTGATGAGAAAGGAGATGGGAAAGGAGTCGTGCCCCTAATTCCCATGATGTTCAGGAGTCAACTGTACATAAAGTTTTTATCTTAAACTGAACTGCAGTGACCTAGGCTTTCAGCTGTCCTCTGCTTAAGATAATAAGGTATAGCCTCGCTGACTACCTTCTCTTAGGACAGAAGAAGAACTAAAAACAGAGTCCTAATGCCGGAGTTTGTTAATCTCCTCCAAGAGAAGAAATTGTCATCTTCAGGCATCTGGAGCCCTACTGTGTCACAGGTTCTTCACTACCCCACCCTGCTAATCATCTAATGAGATTTGGATCTGTTAAGGGGCTGACCCACATTACAAGTGTGTCTTGCAAATGCTTCCAAGAGGTCCTTAGGCTTCATTGGTCTTTGGCACTGTGCCAGGCTTCCAAACCCAGATGCATTCAGGAACCAGACTGACAGGTAAGTAAGGGTAGCAGACAGGTGGCCTCTCGATCATTCTGTTGGCAAATTAAACATAGAGGAATCATTCTTTGCTTGCATAAAGAAATGTGCAGGCCTCATACAGTCAGATTTCCTAAAAATGTTTTAGAGAAGCCTGATATTGATACTTTTATCTGATATTTCTTTATTGTTCAGCAGCTAATTTTTTTGAATATTTTTAAGACTCAGATGGACCCAGCCACAGCAAGGGTGGGTTTCAGTCCAAGCGCTCGGCAGTTCAAGGCCTTGTCCTCATTTTGCCGAGAACAATCTGTATCTCCTCTTCCAATCACCACAAGTTCAAAGGGAGTGTGTGTGCTAGTTACTTGCCAACGTTGGATGACTGATGCTTGGGCCACCCCTTCATCATCCAGCCCCGCCTCTGATGCCTCTTCAGACACATAATCCATTCATCACCTTCAGGAGCCACCTTCAGATAAGTGACTCCCTCTACATTTACCAGGGTGGCCACCATCCACTCACAGAGGTGGAGCCCAGAGGGTCCCGTATGTGCCAGGTTTCAAGGAAAGAGCCCCAGTTCCCTGCTCACCAACCAGAACTGCAGCCTCAGACCCATTCCAAACTAGAGTCTTAATTACTTAATTGAATATTTAAAATGTACACATGCACAAGGACATGCATTACAATTTCATTTATAATCATGAAAAAAGTGGAAATACCTCAAATACCCACCATAGTGTGAAATAATACACATTAAAATATATGAAACCAATGTATGCACACTGACACAGAATACTTTCCTTTTAAAATACATTGTTCAGTGAAAAGGCAAGTAACTAAATCTCTCACACACACACACACACACACACACACACACACTATTTTCTCATTAATGGAATCATACATTTGTATCTATGCGGATGTAAACGTTAAGGATACACAGAAGGAAATCCCTGAAAACCAATTGTCACCAGTATTTTCTCTGAAGATTGGAGTGGTTCTGGGAGTGGGAGGGAGAGGCATTCATTTTTTGTATTGCTTGAATTTTTCAATGAGGTTATTTTCACACATGACTTGTGCTACTTTTTAAGCGTTATTTGAAAAGAGGTATCATTTGGAGTAGAAGGCACCTGCGAGATGCCAGAGTGGTGAGCCTTGTGAAGACGAGAGAGAGAGAGAGATTTTGTGTCTGGATGGTAGCCTCAACTACAAATCATCCTCTGCTTCCTCCCTGGCATGACTTATCCCGTGTGTCACGTTACCACTCCCTGTGTTCTGATGACGGGGATTTTTTTTTTTCATTATATAACAGTAGTTAT